AAGGGTTGCCAAATTTTTTATCATTTCTATCTTGTTTAAACTGATAATGCACTCCTTGTGTATTATCGTTTGATTTTATTTATAAAATTATGTGATTATCTATCAAAAAAAAAATTTTCTTTTAGATTAGGATTTTACATTAGTTTCCTTATATTAGTAGAATTATGGAATAATTTTGCCTATAAATATAAATGTATTGTACATCAACTATTATTCAATATATACAAAGCAAGATTATTCCAATATCATTCTTATTTATTACATAATTCTTATTAAAAAAAATTTCCTAAACACTTCCGCGCCAACGTCACTGGCAGATAGGGATGTCAAATTCTGCTGTGCAAGCACAAGTTGCTGCTGGTGCTGGGGCATAAGAATATGTAGTTGATAAAAAGGCTGAATTCCCAGCATAAATGACTTTTGCTGTTGAAGAAGTCCAGAGATGAGCTGATCAAGGTCCCGGGCACAAAACATTAAGTAGATAGACACATGAATGAGGAGAACAAATTGTTCACAAAGGGGCATCTTCGGTATGCAATATTAGATAGTATTGAATAATGATGCACAAGATTTAACCTTTTTTTCTTCATTAATATTTTGCACAACTATTCAACATACCTTACCAAACATGCCAAAAATCCACTAGTAAGCCTCAAAATGTAGAGTCACAATCCTTACCTTAGAACAACAGAGTTAAGGACCTAATCATTTCTCAATCCACAAAATTCCATTCAGCGGTTCAAGGAGATAGTATTACATGTCTCGTCAATGAGAAAAACAAATTGATCTCTAAGAGAATGTTTGGTACGTAATATTAGGTAGTAGTTAACAATGCAATGCACAAGATTTAGCCTTTTTTCTTCATTAATATTGTCTTCAACTATATAACCCATCTTATCAAACATGCCAAAATGCACCAGTGAACCTCCAAATGTAGTGTCACAATCCTTACCTTAGAACAAAAGAGTTAAAGAACTAATCATTTCTGAACCCACAAAATTCCATTCAGTGGTTTAAGGAGAGAATATTACTTGTCTCATCAACGTGGAAAACAAGTTGATCACTAAGGGCATCTTTGGTGCACAACATTAGGCAGTAGTGAACATCGCAATGCACAAAATTTGGCTGTTTTTTTTTCTCATTAATATTATCCGCAACTATCTAACACCTTACCAAATATGACAAAAATGCACCAGTGAACCTCCAAATGTAGTGTTGCAATCCTTACCTTAGAACAACAGTGTTAAGTTACTAATCATTTCTCAATTCACAAAATTCCATTTTAACGGTTTAAGGAGAGAATATTACATGTCTCGTCAATAGTAACATTCAATTTATGGTGCAATCATAACTGTAGCAACTAAATGCCAGACACCAAAATATTAGACTGAAATCACAACTTTGCCAGAGAGCTAAAGAGATCTTCATAGCCATGCTTCTAAATCTTAATCTTCCAAGAAAATAATCATGCTTATTTAAGACAGATGCTGAAGCCAACTAACCCGAGCAAGTTCACATAAAATTATGAAGTATGGAAAATGTACTCACTGTTATTAAGGAACAATGAAACATCAAAAAAGGTACGTCAATGCAATGCATATCCAAAGTGTTAAGCAAATTTCAACTCCTAGTAACTATGATATCAGATATTATAGGATCACAGGATCTGTTTTTATCATGACTATTGACAAGTAATTCATAGCTAATAAGAGTACGGAGCCAATGCATAATACTACTTGCAGTTAGCGGCCATTCTTTACATGTCAAATTGTTGCCACCTTGATTTGACCCTAAAACAAAAGTTGCATCAGTTACAGCATAATCTGGCAAATCAATCAAACAAATGACAGAATCAATGGCTTCTGTGAGTGAGTATCAGTCTCTTTTAGCATGTCTTGAATAATATCCAACTTAGAAAAAATAAGTTCCAAATTTCCATCATTTCACAGAGTAACAGCACAAATAAATGTTTTCATTTGCACTTACAAGACAGATAAATTAATAGTAAAATACACGTCACTAGGAACTAAATAATCAAAGAGTACCAGAAGATGCCCCTAAGTGATCATGCAGCTCTAGGGTTCAGTGTTGGATTCATTTCATTCTTGATTTCCTCTGCAGGAAAAATTTGAGGTAGAAATTATAAGAAGCACCGATGCTAACAGAAAATATCTCCTCAAAAAGAAACAAAGAACACGCTGACTGGTGTAGCCCCCTAAAGTTGCAGACTTCAAGCTTGAACTTGGAGGGACATGCTGCCAGCTGTACCATGCAGAACATGCGTGGACAGACATTGATATCTTAAATCAAATCAAGGGTCAAAAAATATATAAGAGGAACAAAAGAATTCATTTTGTTTCACAGCATCTGTGTTTCTGTCTCAACACAGAATGATCATTCAAGTGCCAAGGATTACAACAAAGCTAAGCACTAAGATCAGGAAGTCAGATCAATTCCACTCCCTTAAGTTAAAACTGAGAATATAACCCTTTACAAACATACGTAAGTACATAAAAACACGTGCCTGAGAGGGGGAGGAAAGACTCACAATCCACCTTTCTACTCATTACTGTCAAATATAGATACTCAATAATAACAACTCGATGCCCCTCAATATGAGAGGTTCTCTCATTATATAGAACCAAAATCATAGCTAAATATGGTAAAAGCAATATATCTATATATGGTACAATTATAATGATAATATAATCGTAATCTACGACGATCTCCGTAATCTTATTCAATCTCATTGACACTCCCCTCAAATTGATGATGGTAAAAGCATCAATTTGCAATCATGAACTGGAGATAGTGACAATATTTGTGCCCACGAAGTAGAAATCCAAATCAGAGCAATCATCTACGAAAATTAGTAACGATGAGACACCAAAAACAACAAATAGTACAGTAACCAACAAAGAACACTCCAAAGATACTCCAGACAACTCACACTCCCCAAGAAGAATTTCCAAAAGAAATTCACAAAGTGTGCCGACAAACACAATGAGTTCTATCTGTCGGAAGAATTTAGTCGAACACATAATTCAGGTTCCGACAAAAGCTCTAACGCCAAAACATCGGTCAAAATTCCAGATACTGCAGGTGGAAGAAATCCCACAAAACATTCTACACCAAAAAGACGATCATCTTCCGAAAAACCAAAACTCTAGCTCATTACTTGAGAAACCACCAACAGTCTGCACTCCCAAATTAAAAAAAAAAATACTATTATTCTGCGACTATACCCACGAAGCACCATAGAAAGGGAAGAAAATTTAGTCAAGGCCCAATCAACACCTAATCTTAATAAACCCGTCTGTGTCGAACGATAAGACTTAAATTTTGAAGTAATCCAACAAATCAACAAACCTAAACCAACAAAGTTACAGGCCAAACCAAATGAACTTAAGCCCAATAAAAAAAAATTATTTTTTTTCCCCCGCCCAAGTAATAAGTAAATCAACCAATCCATAACCCAACAACAATCAATTATAAATCACCGCCCAAGTGAAATAACAGCCCAACCACCTAATAAAACAAAGAAGCCCAAATAGAAATTAATAAGGCAGCCCTGCGAATGGATTTCAAGGTCCAATTCCATCACAGAAGATACCCAACCTAGTCTGCTCCTTCGTGACTCTAGAAGATTGCAACAACACGTAGAGAATAGTAGATTCGTTGCCTCCTCTACAGTCTCCATCGCGACGCCACTACCATATCAGCTGCCACCCTCACGACGACCACCGTGGAATCCACCACCTCTGCCGCCAATCACAGCTGCTAACTAACCACTCCGGCAGCCACCGTATCAAGCACAACCGCCGTTCCTCTATGAAATTAACAATCCAGTCCATAGAAGCCTAATGATGCCCATTATGAGCTTTTTTTTTTCACAGGTATGTGTTCCTTCGAGGCTTCTGATATCAAAATTTGGGGCATTAGGAAGCTTCACAACTCGTATGTGCCATGGACAAACTTCTGCGGCACATTTTGCAATATACCGGATCGGATCGCTTTTAACAATGCGAAGATCAAAGTGCTGTGCAATCGCAGCTTTTTCAATTGCACTTTGGAATGCCTTTACATCAAGAAACTCCTGACCGACAATGAAACTAATGATAATCCAAAATCGATAAGTTTTTTTTTTTTAATGCAACCATCCACTACTCAGCCTATTATTTAAGCTACTACATAATAGGGTTCTCCAAATACAAGTAGCTCAACCCCCGGGGAGTTCTGAACTTCCTCATCAACAACAATTGACAGTAGAAACTCTTCAAGAGACAGATAATTATTATCAATATAAACTACCAATTTAAAACTAACATAGACAATGATATCTAATCAAAAAAAGAAAATTTGACCGAACGAGCGGCCTCGCCAGAAAGCTGAAGTTTGCAAGTTTAACTCAAAATGAAATTAAACTAACTCTGATACCATGTCAAATATAGATACTTAATAATAACAATAAGACTCGATGCCCCTCAATATGAGAGGTTCTCTCATTATATAGAACCAGAATCATAACTAAATATGGTAAAAGTATCTTATTCAATCTCATTGACAATTACAAACAAGAAACAGTATTTGTAATCCTTCCTTGCGACTAGGGAGGAAAAAATACTCGTTCTATGCTAAGAATACCATTCTTTTGTTTCTCTTTTCCTCCATTTTCCAAGTCTTATTCAAAATAAATTTGGGGAGGGTACATGAATTCTCCATTTGCAGCAATGCTACAACAGTAAACTACAGATAATAATGAAGGTTCATAATATCACAAGATATAACTATATGTATTGAAAATACCCAGAGGCCTTGGCCAGCTGCTGTAGCTGATTTCATAATTGATGCAAGATTTTGATCCAAAAGATGGCCAACATTTTCACAAAAATTTGCTGAAAGCAAATAATTTGTTGTAACAATTGAAATGAAAGTGTGTATTTCCGTGTACCAATATATGCGAGTACCCATTCAATTAAGCCTATGTTTGACTCCCATTTTTCCAAAAACTCATTTTCAACTACATATTCTCCCATAAAATAATTTTACACGTAAACCCAAAACTTCTCCTTATTTTTAACCACGCATTCTTTAACAAGACACTATTGCAAAATGCATTTTGGCCCAATAATGGGGCTCACACAGGGGCTAAGAAGTATCCTAAAGGATAACTTCTTTTTCCCAGATCACATTATCAAGTCGTGAAATATTTGAACTTCGTACCTTCAAAGCTGCATCATTCAAAGAATCGGTCTGAGCAGACAACTTCAATCTGTCCTCATGCATTTTTGTTGCCGGCGCATTGGCAGTGCCGCTATTTTGTTTCGTGAGAGCATCATTCCAGACAATTCCATTAGCTGAGCCATTCAAGATGTGGACATCCCAGCGTTGCTGTTGCTGTTGTTGGTGCTGCTGTTCATGTTGCTGCTGTGGATGCTGCTGCTCTTGAGATTGCTGTTGTTGTTGAGGTTGCTGTTCCCGAGCTTTTTATTTGGGACTGCCTTTTTTAAATAAGAAGAAACTACCATATTAAACTTTGACACACAATATTTTTTCCTCTTTTTCTCCCCAACATGTCTGGCTAAGCTTAATATAAGACAACATTTACTTTTTTGCTTCCAGACATGTTTGGTCAACTTGCTTTTTTCTTAATTTTTGAGAAAGTAAATTTCACCCTACTATCAAAAGTATATTGTTTATATCCAACTTTGATCGTTAAAAAGAATTACTCATTTTATAACTTTCTTTTTTACTTATAAATACATTCACTTTTTAAGTAAATATTGTTGGTTTCCAAAGGAAAGAGTATGTCAACCTATATCATACTCACACAACAATATGATAACTCTTCGGAATCTAATATGAAAAAGATGTTTACATGGGGCAAGAAACAGACCACATTGAACAAGCGCAATATTTTGAATACTACATGTTACTTTTGGTTAATTGTTCAAAAATTTCACATTTCTCATCATTATAAACAACCACATAGAAGAAAGCTTTACAACTAGCTTACTGATTTTCCTCAGATAAATTAGAGAGATCCATATCCAGAGATTATACAAAAACACGCTGATAGTTGAGTACAAAAGTCCTGTGCATTCTATCAGTGCCATGACATAACAGCTCCAAATGCAGCAAACTTCAATCATTTACAATTTTCAACAAAATGGAAACCACAACATTTTTCGTAAAACAGTGCATGCAGATTTCATTTTTATAATATCGGGATTATCCATTTTATTGACTGTAAATTTCATAACCGAACAAGGTAACAAGAACGTAAAAATAAATGCATAATCATTAGCCTAAATTTGAACCTAGATGGGTTTATTCATCTTTCAATAAATAGGAACTGCAGTCCACAAAATTTAAAGTTATATAGAAAAGTTATCAAATACTCTGCTCTTGGATAAGTATAATCCTAGTCACCGGGGCGGAGCCAGAAAGATATGTTAGGGTGGAATGAAATTTAATTTTTTTTCAATGATCTTATACCATAAAAGATGTTATATACCACACAAGATTTAGTTTAAAAGGTTAAATTCATAACACTCAAAATAATGTGGGTCAAAATATATTTTTGGACACTCATAACAAAGTGCTAACGAATATATTTTTAACTAATAAAATTAAATATATAGTATATTACTTAGGCCCTGTTTGAGCCACCTTTTTGTAGAATGAGAATGAAAAATATAGCCGTTATTGGCGCCCACACAAGAGATAGAAAATTTGGATTTAAATGTTGATGTGATGGATAACGTTTATATTTTTCATTTTAATGAGATAATAAGGTGGCTCAAACGGGGGCTTATTTTGATAATATCATCCATTTCTTGGTCGAAATAAATAAATTATTAACTCACAAGTATAAATAAGTAATATATGAAAAAATACATTAGAAAAAATCTAATTACTTTTAAGTTTAGTTAAACATGTGGCATTTCATACAGTTCAAATAAGTCATTTATCTTTAATCAATAAAAATTATTCGCTATATAATAAACTAATTTGAATATAAGTGAACTCTTTAAATTTAGTTATATATATGTGTGTGTAAAATAAAATATCTAATTTGGAAATGAGTTATTTGTGCATCATGAATATGAATAAAATAAATATGTAATTGTCGTAGAATCTTAAACTAAATTTGAATAATTGATAATTGGGCTTGGGTTGGAAATGAAGTTAGTTGGGCTAAAATTAATTTTTGGGCTAGGCTAAATTTTTATTCTTTTTGATTTTCACCATGAATTTGGGCTAAGTTTTCCATTTTTTATAGTCATTGAATTTACTCGTATGAGAAGCCATTGAACTCTCTTTAATGCAGAATGCCAAAGAATTAGGGACAATGAATATTGAGAGAGCTACTTTCTAAAATTCCAACAGACCTCGATATAAGATGCTGCCACCTCAGAGTGCTTCTCATTTGTCCTGGCAATGAAGATATCCCAAGACATCAACCACCATTCAAAGAGAAACTGCCAGGAGAATCAATAGCTGAAATATACAAAATATGCGAATTAAAATTTTAACAACAATGTGAATTCTTAAATAAGAAAGTGCTTTCATCCTCCAGCTAAGCTTTCAATGTACTTACCAACTGGGTCGGACGATGCTTTTCCTTCAGCTTGGAAAGCCTAAGCACGAGCCTTCAAATCTCTCTTCACTAAGTAAGTGGATTTATACATCCAGCCTAAAAAGGGTAACTCCATAATAAAAGCATCAAAAAGTATCGTTTATCACGTGAAACAAATACACTTTAGAAAGCAAAATAACCAAATTTTGGGAGGAAAAACAAAAAAATAAAGCAATTGTAAAACCAATCACATTAATTTCAATACAAAGGGAGAGATAAGATTTAATAACCCTAAGATAACAAACAGAAGATAACTCGATACAAAAATATAAAAAATCCCAATACACATTGCCAGAAGAAACGCATACTAATATATCGTACTACAAAAGAGGAAGATAATAGTGCCAGTCCCAAATAGTTTTTTAAAAAAATAAAAGTTAATCACACACTAAAACTGAAGTGCAAACAAATAAACACACAAAACCCTATAATGCACAAAAAGTTGATTAAAAACAATAATAGGCACGTTCGAAGACCAAAAAACTTTAACAGAGATAGTACAAATTTTCAAAATTCAACCTAAATGTAATAGAAAACATTAAATTACAGCTGCAAACAGCATACTAGTAAAAAGGCACATAATAAACCAGAAAATAAAGAACCATTTCAAGAAGGAAATTAAGAAACCAATTGGTCTGAGACATTTTAGACAGTCCAGTACCCCAGAACACAAATGCAAGATCCTAAAGATAAAATCTTTTCTTCTTTTTCCACCCCTTTGGCCTCTGAAAACATATACATATATTATATAAAACAAAAAACCAAAAAAAAAAAAATTAATTAATTATGCCAGTAAAAAAATCCAGAAAACAGCACACGGGTAAAAAATTATGGTAAAACACCAGAAGTAAAAGGCCAGTGACATATGAAAATGTAACGAACTTGTATGAATATAGTACATCCGGCATTTTTTGAATAAAGAAGAAAAATACTGAATTGAGATTACCTGAAGGCTCAAGAAAAGGTAAAGAAGGGACCGTTTAATTTTTTCTTTTCAGTTGGACTCTTTTTGGCTTTTGATGTTTATATACTTATATAATAGAGAATGTTTTGCAAATGACAAAATTTACATTTCTTGATTAGCTACCATTGTTGGATTGAAGGAGCTACTGATGTAACAATGGCTTTAAAAGAAAGAATAGAAATTTACCTTTTAGCCCTCTTCAGTTAGTCAAATTTCTTGTTGAAGGCCTTGGCAGGGGAACAGGATATTGTAATGACCAAAACGACCTTAATTTTTGGATATAACCCCTATTTGTTTTTGCTAAAAATCAGAATTTTAATAAATTTTGATAAAAGTTGATGAAATATTTGATTGAAAAATTGATAAAAAAAATTACAAATTTCATAAAATAAAAAATGAATTTGAAAGAAATGAATTTTAAAAATTGAAGGTCGGGACTTCATTGATAATGTTGAGTCGGTAAAAATGTCATTTTTTTAGGTTTGCTCCTATTGAATGCAAGTGTGGTACTAGTATTATAATTTATTTGGTTATATTACATGTATATAATGTTTTTACATACATAATGTGATGAGATATGATTGAGTTAAAATTTCTTCAATCAAATAATAAAAAAACCTTATTCACTCTCTTTTTGACACATCATCGATATGTGAACCATTATATACCAGTAGCATTATTCTAATTTAGTTACGAAAAAGTTTTGGATTTCAAGGAATGTTCAGTTGCAAGTCCTTCATTTCCAATGTCGAAGTTGATTAGTCAAGTTAGAGTGAGCATTTTAATTGAAATCGAACCTCTTGAAATGAAATTGGTGGTTTCGGTTCGATTTTTAAATGAAAAAAGTTGGGAATCAAATCAAGAATCTATCGGTTCACGAATCAAAATTGTTGGTACTCGAATCTGAAATCGAACTTGTCATTTTTATAAATTTTTATTTTTTACAAGTTATTTACTATAGCCTAATAAATCATCTCAATAAGTAGCAAGTTTGTAAGCCATAGCAAGCATCAAGTTTGCAAGGTCCAAGTAGTAAGTACCCAGTAATCATATCCATTCATTAAAATAATTGTGTCGTATTACTTTCATTCATAGCAACTTCTGATTGCTCTTTACGTATTGTCTTCCTTATAAATTCTTCTTGAGGCGCCATTTGCAACATCACAATCGGAATGGGTTGCTATTTGATAACATATTTGTAGTGAATTTAAAAAAATGTTGAAATTTGTTGTTGTATCTTATTTTTTCTATTCCTTCTAGATATTGGTAAGATAGTTATATTGTCAATTCGTTGTTATTTTTAAACAATCATATGGGTAGAACATAATTCGAATTGGAATCAATTGGTTCGGGTATGAGTTTAGTTCTAGTAATTACGTGAATTCAAATGGTTTCATTTATGAACTACCCGAATTATAGTCCCTGTTTGGCCCCTATTACATTAAATTATATTACATTACATTTTTCCCTCTCTTCATTACAACCACACATTTATCAAATAAAATAATATTACACACAAATCTAAAACTATTCATTACTTTTTCACCACACATTCTCCCATCAATCGTTATTTCAAAAATTTTCAACCCTAAAAAATGCCAAATAATGGGGGCCAAACAGGGGCATAATGGATGGTTATGAGTATTGAAATACGCAAATCGATTCACCCGAAGTCGAGGGATATGTTAGGTGTTGAAAATTTTACATACATTCATTTTGTCATGGTGACATGTTTGATAGGTAAAAGTAATTTAAAATTTGAGGTTCTAGAAATACTTTATGAAAAATGTGAATTTTCTTTTGAGATTTAAAACATGGCGTCAAGAAAAAATTAAATGGTGAAAATCAAAGTGTAGCCTAGTCGAGTGTTGTTGTTAAGGTCTAAAAAGAATTTCTTCGTCCTTTGACTAAAGACATGGTCGCAAAATGTTTTAAAGAGTTGAAAATGGATGTAGTCTTGGATGCTAACTCCTAAAGAAGAGCTCTTACACACGAGCAGGCGCAAGTTTTTGAGGATTGCTTTTGAATCTCGAATGAACCACACCTAGCGCTCGTTTGGGAGAAATTTTCATTCGAATTTTAATCAATTATTGGACCTTGATTGTCGTTATTTTTGGCTTCCTTCTCAATTAAAGACAAATACTGGGATCCACTTGTACTTTGCAACGGTATAAAAATTAATTTTAATTTTGTAAAAAGTGGAGCCAGACGGGGGCCTACTCTTACACTTCCATGTTCTAGGATTGTAGTACGTGTTTGTCGATTGACACGTACATCCTTCAAATTACACGAAGGTTTTTCAATTGAATTTCAATTTCCTTTATTACTAACATTTTATAAGTAAATATAAGGAGAGATTATGGAATATTTTATTTAGATAACTCTTACACTTACATGTAATTATTAGGGTTGGGCAAAATGTCCGAACCGAGCCGAATCGAGCGGATTTTTTAAAATGAAATACCTGAACGGGTATCCGAATCGATCTCTTGAAATGAAATTGGTGGTTTCTGTTCGATTTTTAAATGAAAAAAGTTGGGAATCAAATCGAGAATCTATCGGTTCACGAATCGAAATTGTTGGTACTCGAATCTGAAATCGAACTTGTCATTTTTATAAATTTTTATTTTTTACAATTTATTTACTATAGCCTAATAAATCATTTCGATAAGTAGCAAGTTTGTAAGCCATAGCAAGTATCAAGTTTGCAAGGTCCAAGTAGTAAGTACCCTAGTAATCATATTCATTCATTAAAATAATTGTGTCGTATTATTTTCATTCATAGCAACTTCTGATCGCTCTTTACGTGTTGTCTTCCTTATAAATTCATCTTGAGGTGCCACTTGCAACGTCACAATAGAAATGGGTTGCTATTTGATAACATATTTGTAATGAATTAGAAAAATGTTGAAATTTGTTGTCGTATCTTATTTTTTCTATTCCTGCTAGATATTGGTAAGATAATTATATTGTCAATTCACTGCTAGTTTTAAAAAATCATATGGGCAGAACATAATTCGAATTGGAATCGATTGGTTCGAGTGTGAGTTCAGTTCTAGTAATTACGTGATTTCAAATGGTTTCATTTATGAACTATCCGAAATATAATGGATGGTTATGAGTATTGAAATACGCAAATCGATTCACCTAAAGTCGAGGGATGTGTTAGGTGTTGAAAATTTTACATGCATTCATTTTGTCATCGTGACATGTTTGGTAGGTAAAAGAGATTTAAAATTTGAGGTTCTAGAAATACTTTATGAAAAATGTGAATTTTCTTTTGAGATTTAAAACATGGCATCAAGAAAAAGTTAAATGGTGAAAATCAAAGTGAAGCCTAATCGAGTGTTGTTGTTAAGGTCTAAAAAGAATCTCTTCGTCCTTTTTGACTAAAGACATGGTCGCAAAATGTTTTAAAGAGTTGAAAATGGATGCAGTCTTGGATGCTAACTCCTAAAGTAGAGCTCTTACACACGAGCATGCGCAAGTTTTTGAGGATTACTTTTGAATCTCGAATGAGCCACACCTAGCGCTCGTTTGGGAGAAATTTTCATTCGAATTTTAATCAATTATTGGACTGTGACTGTCGTCATTTTTGGCTTCCTTCTCAATTAAAGACAAATACTGAGATCCACTTGTACTTTGCAACGGTATAAAAATTTATTTTAATTTTGTAAAAAGTGGAGCCAGATTGGGGCCTACTCTTACACTTCCATGTTCTTGGATTGTAGTACGTGTTTGTCGATTGACACGTACATCCTTCAAATTACACGAAAGTTTTTCAATTGAATTTCAATTTCCTTTATTACTAACATTTTATAAGTAAATATAACGAGAGATTATGGAATATTTTATTT